GACAGAACAATGTAATCAGTATTTCCTTCACCCCATCTCCAATTTCTCTGATGCTTTTAGTCTTTAAATCAAGATCTGATATATTCCTTCTAAAGAGCCATTAGAATTCTGCCTCTGGCAAGTTGACTTCAAGTAAAATGATACTCATTTTGAAGATGTGCATTTAACTTAATTGGGATAGGAAAAAAAAAATCTTGAGTAGCAAACTGCTATATGTGAAATGAAGGACTGTGTTCCTTATATTCATCAGGGATTTCTCTATGCACTGTTTGCTCTGTCAGAGGTAATTTAGAAATGTAGCTGTGTTAGTCTGAAGGCAAGTAGAAGGCAAATTTGTACCTTAGACTGACCAAAGTAGATCTATACTGTATTTACTTGAATCATTTATAATTTTCCACATATAGAAACTAATTAGGAAAAAGTTCTTATATTTGTTGTTGCCCCCTCCACTTGCCATGCTGTGGTCTCCCCTGCCACTTGCCCCTCCATGCCTGTGCCTATCCCCCAACACCCTGCCTCCCCCACCCACTTTTCCCCATGCCTGCCCTGCTATCCCTGCAGGCTGCCACCCCACCCCTTGTCCACAATGCTTGTGCCTGATCCCTGCTACCTACCCTCCAAATTTTGCCCCCCCCTCCAACTTACCTTTTGCAGCAGCTCTGCTTCAGTTCTGGGTGGTCAGCAGCTCCTAGCCCAGCCAGGTCAAGGTTAGAGTGACCAGAGCCAGGGCAGAATGTGGGGGGGGGAAAGAGAAGAGGCTGGGGTCACTGCAGACAGGGCGTGTGTTCAGGCTGCATGGTGTCCCCTGTGCTCCTGAACCACAGATGTCGATCACTCTTGCTCTCCCTACAGCTACTCCACAGTCTCCCCCATGCCCCTTCCCCACCAAATGAGCCATCACAGCTCAGGGCAGGCAGCCTGGGGTAGAAGCCAGACCTCAACCATTGCCTTCTCCAGGCCACTATTCAAATCTAAGATACGACTCCTCCCCTCACCCCCGCAGTAAGCCTGGGGGGGTGGAGGGAATTTCATTTTGGATTCAAGTAAATACAGTATGTGTGTATTATATGTACGTATGTATAGCACATGCTTTTGTGAGGTGACGCTCATTTAATCAGATGCTGTAAAAGGAAATGTGGAAAGCAGAGTATAACGGAGAGAGAAATCAGAATACAAAAGACAAAGGGACAAGGGTAACATGCTTATCCTTGAACCCCGATGCAATCATGCAGAGTATTTTTACAAGTCATTCTCTGAAAACTAGGAAAAAAAATATCCAAGGTAATAGGTTTATTTAAACTCAAATACTGGGCCATGGCTCTCTAAGCCAGATATGTAAAACAGTTTCCAAAGCAAATGGAGCAACACTAAGGTGTATTTCATCATAATTCTCCAATTTTATCTAAGGTACACAAGCATCTGCAGTGTAAAAGGTGCCCTGACTTGTCATTCTAGTGTCAATTTGGCATCAGAAGGCCACAAAAATCTCAACAGCCATTTACTGGACTACACTCACATTCGACAGAAAGGTACAGTTCAGTAGTTTCAGTATAGGATGGGATCTATCAAGGTCAAATTATATACTCGCATTGTGGCCTCAGAAGAGTATGCTTAAGAATTAAGAGCTTAAAGAAGTAAAAAGAATATATGTAAATACAAAGGACTTCCCCCACTGCCTTCGGGTCTGAACCAGATTGGCTGATGAAGAGAAGAAAGAAGCAGTATCAGACTGCGTGCACCTACTATAGACAAAAGAACCCACCCACTTTGTAATTATGCAGCATTTATGCCTGTTTAAGAGTCAACCTGACTATTTGAGTGTGCAGGTGACACTTTTCTTGCATTATTTTTGTAAATGCGTCCATTATACCTGCACCAATGTCTTTTGTACGAGCTTAGATTAAATTGAATGCATACTGGGGAAAAGTTTCCAGGGGAAGAACAGGAGGCACAACTGTTTAGGACTTTGGAAAAACATCTCAATGCATTTTTCCTCGCTTCTGATGATGTCAGTGACAGGACAAAGTGGAAAACATTAATCCTTGAGAAGTGACTCTAGCTGATTCCATTCTATGCTTTATGACAGAAAATGAAGGCAAGCTGCTTCTTTACAAGTGTTTGAAATAATCTTGCTGTTGTCATGATCATCTTATCTTACCCTCTGATCACATGGAAAAAAAAAAAAGGATTGGATCTTGCTGGAATCAGAAGAATATTTAAGATACCTGGCCACATTTAGATCATCGTGGTACATAGCGTCATGTTTTACACACATTTTGTTCAAAACGCACCCTGTACAGTAGAGACCTAATTTAGATAAAGCATTTGAACACACATGCAAGAGAGGACGACAGAGTTAATTACTGTGGATAATTTGATAGACTTCTTCCTTTTCCAATTTCTATAAATCTGTGAAAGGCAATTGTCCTAGGTCTTACATCAGTTTGACTTTTCCTCTTATAGGCAAAACACCATACCTCACTTCTTGTTTGTTCAGTATTATCATACACCTTTATCGCATAAGGTTTTTCGGGGCAGGAACTCCTTTTTGTTTGCTTGACACATTATAACCCTTGTACATCGTTTCAGAAAAAGGAAAGAAAATATGTCAAAGGTACTGTAAATTTACAAAGCACTTCACAAACATAGAACAGACATACTTCCTCCCTTCAAAATTTTATACCTTAACACAGCAAAAGAGGCTCTGTGAATGAGACATCTGTGAAATTCAGTAGTGGTGCCAGGTTTCAGGGGCTATACCAAAAGAGAATCCTGCTAGCATCACAAAAATCTGCACTGACCAATCTGGTGCTTAGACATGATAGCTTTTACTCATCCAGAGAAAAGAAAATCCCTCATTTTGCAATCATGCTGCCGATGCTTTCAGTGCATCTCCCCACTTTAAGGGGAAAGATTTTGTTCAAGATATATTCCAGTGAGCGGCTTAAAAAAATTAGCGGAAAGTACAAGCTATATCTAAATGAAAACTCACAGAGCCCACAAGTTTGTGGTCCGAAATATTACCATCAAAATAGGGGACAAGTCAAGGTTTTACTGCACCAAAATATTCTACCATGTTGCATCCCAGTGCGTAAACACCACAAGTCCCCAAATCTGGCACCTCAGTTCATGCAAACTTTGGCCCCCATTCCTCAAAGTTTGAGGGTCAGACCTGATGATCTGTTTAGGTCCCTCCCGACCCTAAGCATTATGATACTATGAAAGTTGAAGCCATGAAAAGAAAACACATGCTGCTTGCTCCCACTGCTCAAAAAAATCCGAACTGTAATGTGTTCTAGACGGCAATAAATGCAAAAACCTTAGCATTAACTGCATTATTGGAAGTTTTAGCCTTTTTGCATAGCAATTTTCAGGTTCAAGTTGTACAAACAAGTGCGGCTGCTCCTTTTTATCTCTGTACCCCTGACATATCCAGACTTCACAGAACTAGAAAAATATCGTTTTTCAACTGCCAATTCTTACCCCAAACCCCAAAAAATCTGAATAGAGAAAACATGTAACGTCTACAAGGGCACCAGCAATGCAGACCACATTACTTTTTTTGTAGCAGCACTGTAATAACACGTATTCAACCCCAGATACAAGCTTTAGTTTTATTTTCCTTTGTTTAAATCCCAAACTCCAAAAACCTACCAACCAACTAGTAAAGAGATGCAGCTGCAAAACTTCTGACTGTATGCATCATAGCACAATAGGCCATGAAGTACCACATCCAACACTTGGAGCCTGATAACGCTGACCTTTGTTGATAGTGCAATTTGGGGACCAACATAAACAGCTCCTCCTATCACAGAGCTGCTTAGTCCAAAAAGTCCAAATTGTGATGCTTTCCAGTATGAGAGCAATATAAAACCACTCATCCAACAGCTGGATCTTGTCAGATGCAGTGAACGTTTTAGATGCAAGCCTCAAAATTCCACTGCAAACACATTGACCAAGAACAGCTGCTTGAAGCCTGCAATAAAAATCCATGTGTTTTTGTACAGGAACACTTGAGAAATCCCAACATAGGTCTGGATGCATCAGGACATTCCCTATTTCGCCCTTCACCTACATGCTCCCAAGTCGTCGCTTCTTGTAAATCTTAAGAAGTTCGGGACTTCCATGGAAGACTGAGATTTGGGGAATACCTGGGTACAACATATATCTCAGCATTCATTTAAAAAATAAAATAATAAGTTAAAATGCCCAAGGAGCAACAAAGGATAGTTCATTCTTTCCTAACTTGTTTAAGATACATAGAGTAGTTGGCACTAAAGGTACGACATGCTCAGCCTGCCGAGTCCTATCAACAAGTGCAGCGATTCTCAACTGAGGGGTGCCCCCTGGGCTGCTCCGAGATCCTATCCACGGTGCCCTGAGGAGCCGCACAACATTAGCATGGGCAGGTGTGCCAACCCCATTCACAAGATAAACCCAGAGACTTCAAACAGGGATCCATCCACAGGGCTAAATCCCTCCTGAGCTGCTATGGGCTTCCTGAATTCTGTGCAATGGAGGAACTGCTCTGTGATTTTCCCTGTCACCAAAAGAAAAAGAAAAAAGGGGTGGGGGGACTTAAGCGCCAGCATTTTCCAATGGCGCCTCTAGTCTGATGAGGTGGAAGACCCCTGGACTAGCAGGACAAGCTGGGCACCGTGATCCTTGGCTCCCTCAAATGCCAGGCAAACAGATGCCGGCGCAAAGGCCAGGTAGAGACGCACCTTTCCAGGTGAGCTCAGCACCAGCCCTGCCACCTGGCTGGATTGAAACTGGCTCTAGAGCTGTTGGGCATTCCCCAGCCCCGGCTCAGCAAGCAGTTGGCTCCTTGGGGCAGCCGGAGGGACATTTTGAGGGCGCGACAACAACTTGGCAGACAGGCCGGTGCCCGTTTATTGCGCCGGTCGCCCGGCAAGCACGTTACACATGTAACGTGTGCCAGGAGCCTTAGATGCATCCCCAGGACCCGGGCCGGGAGAGGGCATGGCCGAGCGACTCACCGCTCAGGTAGTTGGTCCACTTGTACAGCACCCCCTCCATGGCGAGCACGGCCCCCCCATCCAGCCGCGCCGGGGCCCAGGCCACCCCCCGCGCCGCCAGCAGCCTCTGTCTACACCGCCGCGCCCCGCCGCCGCCCCGCGCCCGAGGCCATCCTGGGGCGGCTCCAAGACCCGCCTCCCCGGTGCCGGCCTCCTGAGCTGCACCGCGCTACGCCGCCAGCGTAAGCTGAAAGAACCCCACGCCTCTCCGCCCTCCCCTGACAGCGTAAGCTTGCCTCGGAATCGCAAGGCACGTGACAGCGGGCCGCCGCGGGCCGAGCCAATGAGGAGGCCGCGCGCAGAAGCCGGGTCCATTGTGCCGAGGTTCCACGGGGTTCGGCGGCGTGCGAACGTTCTCTTCCGGGAACTCCGACGTGGCCCAGCCTATTGGCCGCGCGCCGCCGGGCACTGCCCCTGGCTGGGCGGGGCGATTGACGCCTCCCAATGGGTGGCTGCCGTGGCAGGCCCGGCCCCCGCGGAGGACCAATCCGAGGAGCGGTTCCCGGGCCCTGCCGCGTGCGGGGGAGAGGGAGCCGCTAGCTGATCCGAGCGTGCCTGGTGGCCGGGTTTGCCACGTCTGCTGCTGAGGGGGGAGGGAGGCGGGCAAGCGAGGGTGGGCTTGACCCCATGCAGCTCCGCCCCCCTCTTTAGCGAGCCGCGGTCCTGTGAAGTGACAGGGGGACCTATGCGGGGGCCCAGCCGGCAGTTGCGGGTGTCCAGCTGGGGATTGAATCCACTTGTGCAGGGAACCTAAGGGGTTGCTGTAAGGTGGCAGCTGTAGGCACTGCTTGAAACTGCCCCAAGAGAAAAGGGCCTGGGAGCGTTACCTCAAGGCAGGCCCAGGCACCCTAAAAATGTGGCTTTTGCATCTGTAATACAGACATTTTTCTCTCTCTCTTTTCCATTTAAATTCCCTTGCGGTGAAACCGAAATGATGATTGTACTTTGGGCTCCTTTTCTCTTCGCGTGTGTTCCTTTTGCGGCTGGGGCTCTCATTCCAGAAGCCGAAGTGACGGTTGAGGTGCTCCAGAAACCATTTATCTGTCACAGGAAGACGAAATGGGGGGATATGATGCTGGTCCATTACGAAGGCTACTTGGAAAAAGATGGTTCGATGTTTCACTCCACGTAAGTAGCTCTCTAAGTAGGTGAGATGATGTGTAACTGAGCGGTTAAGTGCCAGGTCAAAAGTTTTCCACAGTGATTTTTTTAATGAGTCTAGCCACGTGTATAGTTATTGACTGTGCTCTGTGGCACTAGTATAAACTTTAAACGGAACCGTGTTCCCATTTAAAAAAATGAACATGAGCAAGAAAGCATCTCGTTTCCTCCCTGTCTCTTGCAATATGGATGATATGCAAAAGCAAGTTCTTGGCTCCCAGTCCTCCAAAAAACTCCAGACAACCCCTTGTGAAGCTTATTAAAGGACTGGGATTTAAGCAGCATGCTTTTCAGTTTAGGTACAGGCCTCAGCCTTTCAAATATACCTGTGAATAACTTCATGCTCAAATGTAACCTCAGTATCACTGTAGGACTTCTCTCTGGTATAAAGTTATGTCTGACTGCAGCAAATGTCCCAAAATCTTACTCTAAGAAACCTAATAGAACCTTTCAGTTAAAACCATCTTTCCATTACAGAAAAACGATGTTTCCAGCAATGAAATAATAAACTGCACTCAAGGAAAGGAATAACCAATCAAAATATAAGTCAATCAAACAAGAAGAAAAAGTTTCCAGAAACAGATTTTATCCCAAAAAAGAAGTATAGTCAAAGTCTTGTAAGTCTTAAGTCTGCAAAGGACTTAATCACTGCTGATTTTTACATGAAAGGAAGTCAGCTCCTATTGTGATGGATATTAGTAAATATACTAAAATACTTAGTTCAGGATAGGTCTAAATAAAGACATAGTGTTGATGTACAATCACAGTCTTGTTCTTTCTTTATAGATCAGTTTTAGCTAAAATTTGATCCTTGTCTCTTACAGCTAACTACTTTTGCCTCTTGTAAAGGAGTTCTATTGTCATTCTAACTTTCCAGTGCTGACTAACTTCTGTAAGTTTTTTTTTTTTTTTTTAAGTACCTTTGTTAAATGTCTGGTAAATAGAGCTGTTGATTCAAACAGGATGAAAAATCAATGATAAGCTGCAACACGCTTTAACAATACTTTTTCCATTTATTTTTTTCTAACCAGTTTTAAAGGAAGGCCCTAATTCAGTGATCCTCAACCTGGGTGTTGTGGCTCCATGGGGTGCCTTGAGAGCCTTTCAAGGGCACCACAGGGTTTTGCAATGTTAGGTGTGTAAATATGATTCACAAGATAAACCCAAAAAATTCAAATAGGAATCCATAGTACTAAAACCATTCTGATTTGTTGTGGTCTTTCTGAGTTTTTTGCAATAGAACTACTCTATTATTTTTCTGTAGACAAAAAAATGAATGAAAACTAGGAGCTGGTATTTTCTGAGAGGTGCCTCAAGTCTCTGTAAGAGTGCCTTGAGTTTATTATGGGGTGCTGCGGGTCTTAAAAAGTTGAGAACCACTGCCCTAGTTGCAGAGCTGTAGAACTATGAAGTGGATGTAACCAAAGCAGGATTGGGGCTGGGCACTACTGGGATAGGATTAAGTGCTACTGAGGTAGAAAATCTACTCACTGAAATCATCGGGAGGCTGGTTTAAAACAAATCGTAGGAAATACTTTTTACACAGCACATAGTGTAGACCTCATAGGAAATTGTAGAGGCAGATAGTATAACTAAATTAAAAAAAGAATTAGACAAATTCAGGAAGGGACTGGTTCATTGGGAGCTACCAGGGAGAGCATTACAGAGGCTGAGTCACCATACTTTCCCTCTAAAATATTTACTGTTTTCTGCTGCTGGAGACCCTATACTGAGTCAGGTGACTTGACCCAATATGGGTTTTATGTTCTCATGCAGAAAGTAATGTTGGAGGTGCTTTTTCCAATGTTTTTCTAAAATCTCTTTTCCAAATTAATATCCGAGTACCCGCAAGTGTCAAGCTGCTAGCAATGGGATTTTCCAAGTGTTACCAGCAGGGAGATTCTGTGCCCTGTAGTCTCCAGGGTGCAGAATTTTAAGTTATTTAAGCATTGACTCATTCCATTTTTTCAACATGTAAGGCCATGTTAGGGTTGCCATATTTCCAGGTCCAAGAAAAAGGACATCTGTTATGCGTGAGGGGGTGGGGGGAATATGACAGTGGGGCAGTGACACGCTGATGCCCTGCCTCTGCTGTTGCCCCTCACTGCCAAGCCAGACGGCCCCCCCCCCCCCCCCCCGCCCCTGCCAGTGTCCCTCACTCCCCCACTGCCATACCCTGCCACCCTGGGTTCCCAGCCTGCAAACCCCTGGCACTGCCAGTTTCCTCTGTCACAACCCAAGGGTGTGATTTTTTGTTTTGTGTGCGCTTTGGCACCACTGAATTATTTTCCCGCCAATTTGAAGCTTTCTTTGCAGGGTGCATTTCTTCTTTGCAGCATAGAAATGCACGTTGCAAGGAGTTCCCGCCATTTGTATTTAAATTTGTGCCCCACTATTGGCTGTTTCTAAATTATTCCCACGTGGCGGCTAGTGATTGGCTTGCTAGCCGCATAAAAAGCTTGAGTGGTTTCCACCCACCAGGTTATTACAAGATGGCAGCAAATGTCTTTTTAGCCTCTAGCCTCTCCCCGTCGCCGAGCGCAATCCTCAACGTATCCCTCTCCCTGCACGCAAAAAAGGATCCACGGAGCCTCGACAACTCCGCGTGAGTGAGAGTTTTGTCTGAGTCCTCAAACGAGGATTTAAGCAGAGCTGTACCTGGGAAACTGTCCAGCCTACACCGTGACCATCTACGGTGTAAGTAAACAATCTTGAATCAACCATTACGCGTCCTTGCCTAATTCTAGCGTGTCGCCTGCTTTCTCCGACCCAGCATGTCCGGGCTGCTGGCCACAGTCCGCGGCGCGAAAAAATGGCCCCGGATCGCTCCCGGCCTGCACATCCTCCACCCCCCCCTCCAGGGCCCCTCACTCCTGACCTGTAGCCCCCTGCGCTCCCAGTCCTGCTGGAGGGGGCCCCAACTTTCACTGTCCTGACCAGGCTGGAGCACGGTGGCTCTGATTCATGCAGACAGTGGTGAAGTGTGTCAGGCCCCATCATGGGCTGGAGGGAAGAGGAGGGGAGGCTTGTGGCATCCCCCACCCTAGGATGGGGCTGCTGCACAGTGCCAGGCAGGTTGACCATGGCCCCCCTCCTTCCCCACAGCAGTATCTCCTGACTGCTCAGCCCCTGCAATGAGCACAGGTGCCGGCCCCAGCTGGCCATAATTTCCCCGCTGCCTTCAAAGTTTCCCTGCCCCTTTCCCCTGCTGGAGGGGCAGGCATTCCCCCTGCCCGCCTTGTCGCAGCTCCAGCCCCCACCCTGACCAAATGCCTGGGATTTTGCTTTGCTCCACTGGTGGGAGTAGGGGGAGGATGATTGGACATAGGCATGACTATATACTAATAAGAGATTCTTATTAATCTTCTTATTTACTAATAAGAGCTTATACTAATAATAGTTCCAAATACTATAGGAGCTTTTCTATACCGACCAATAATCATTTAAGTGGAAATTGATTACCAGAGAAACAAGGGAGATTTGCTGCTTCTAATATAAAAAGAAAATGTGGTATTAGCCCTACAAATTGGTATTGCTCAAGCAATAAAGGTGTTTTTAACTTTACACCTCTCTAGATTTTTTGGGGTCTTTATATGGAGACTTAAATGAGCAAAGCCTAGCCTGCTTTCTCTAAAGAGGTACAGTTATTGTTTATGGATTGTGGCTAAAGGTCTGTAATGTGAGCCTGTTCAACGTGGCATAATGGTCAATCTTCAGGTTTCTGCAGTTTATACCATAAATATTTTATACCATTCTTTTCAGCCACAAGCATAACAATGGTCAACCCATGTGGTTTACGCTTGGCATAAAGGAAGCTATTAAAGGCTGGGACAAAGGCTTGAAAGATATGTGTGTAGGAGAGAAGCGGAAACTGACAATTCCACCATCCCTTGGTTATGGAAAAGAAGGGAAAGGTACTACATCTCAAACCTCCTCAAGCTCAGTATGTTCTTAATCCTGTACTGTATTGTCGCAAGTATATAAGTATTCTGTAAGTCTGCTTATAGAGGAGAATTTGAAAGTAATATACTGTGGTCAGCCAGTTGACTGTAGTGCACCTATAACACCAAATTCTTTATCACTGTGCACAGGTATAAGTAACAGGACAAAGTGGATGACAGATGGTATCATTCTGACTTGGTACCATTTTAGGCAACACTTGATTGCTGACACTGTGCACAAGGTAGTGGAGATTTGGCACCCAAATTTCAAAAGTATTCATTCTTTTAATTTGAAATGTTTGCTGAAGAGCTAAAACTATCAGATACATGGAGTAACTGGATTATTTCTTTTTTCTCTGCACTGTCTTGCTCAGTGCTCACATGTGATATTACCAGCCACTCAATTATTTGTCCTGCCCTTGCTCTGTAACCTGGGGAATGAGTCAGACTTTCTTTCCTGCAATCCCATGAAGTGTATTCCCTGCTCTGCCCTCCACATCTGTCAACAATCAATTGAGCTGTAGTACTGGGACCCACTGCTCATTTCCACCTGTGAAATGGCTTTTAGCATATCTTGTGCTGTGATTCTGAATAGTTAAGATTTTGGGAGATTGTAAATCCCAACGTATTATATGGGATTACAGGGAGGAAACTGTCCCAGAGATCTCAGGATGTTCTCAGCAGGGCTGTTGTCTGGCATATGGTTTGCAAGGATATTTACTCTTCTGTGTCTTCTAAGCAGAGGGCACAAAATAACATGGTATGCCAAAGAGGAAATATACTTCTGATAGCTCAATCACTAACATGGTTGAAGATGCTTATCTATTTTACTGACTGGAAATAAATGCTGAAAGGCGTTGTAAGAGCCCATGTGTGGTGAATTTAAAAATACAACCATTTTTTTACCTAGAGAATCAGCTGCCGATTCAAATGCATGTAAAATTAAATAACTTGCCTAATATATGTACACCGAGCAGCTATGCAGTCAGATAATATACTTGGAAATAAGCTAATAATCTGTTCTGTTGCCTTAAAGTCAGCACAGCTGGCAATCAGAAGGTTACTCCAGTACAGGCCAATCATGTACTTACTGTCTTCATAAACTGTCTCATATACTGTAAGCCATTAAGTCAATTGACACCCTCAGCTGCCTGAATAGTAATACAAGTCACTGCAGTGTGGAGCAGGAATCAAAACAAGGTGCTTCTTTCCAAGTCAGAAAATCAGCTTCTCTGTGTAATACATGTGCCCCAGTTTTGGGGTGTGATTTCTGGGGGAAAGGTATGTGTTGTATGAGAGGAGAATATCATAGTCCAGTTGCCAGATATCTTACATTTCTTCAAATAACCTGGTTTACAAGAAGTCTTTTCTCAAATATTGATGGACTTCCTAAGGTACTCAGTTCACTTTGTCTTTTATTTTGTCTCTATGTCTAACATCCTTGATAGGAAAAATTCCACCTGAGAGCACACTTATATTCAACATTGACCTACTAGAAATCAGAAATGGACCAAGATCACATGAGTCATTCCAAGAAATGGATCTTAATGATGATTGGAAGCTATCCAAGGATGAGGTGATTTGTGCTTCTTAACTAAGTGACAGAATGAAGTAAAGTAAATAGTGGGGATGAGAAGGAAAGTTAAAGTGTGAACTTGATCTTGTCTATAAAAGCACATGGTCAGAGCAAGGCACATTCTTGGGCAAGTGCCTCAAGGTTAGAGAGATGACTCTGAAAAGTATGGAACAGGGGGCCTGGATCTGCACCAAGTTTAGGATTGTTGATACTGACTTGTATAAACTACAGCTTCTTAGAAATAAAAATTACTTGGCATTTTTTTTCATTCAGTTGCTAGTTTTTCTGTCAGCATGTGGCCTTCAAACCCAGTTGTGGTAACACAAATATCTTATGGCACATCAGCATGGCATGTTACTTTTGGGAAAGGGAATGGGATTTAACACTTTTCTTGGTTTGCTCATTTTCATAATAGTATCCATTTTTAGTACAGACTTTAATGCTAGACAAAATGCAATTTTAAGAATTATTCTTTATACATAGGTTTTAGTCTTTTGATTTTCAGTTTCAAGTGAGACAGCAAAACTCTTTCCATACAGACATATTAATGTACACCAGTCTTGCACCTTTGGGCCTTTTCTTGTACTTGCACTATAAAATATAGCTAACTTTTATGATGAGCAAAAATATCCATGGAGGGAATAGAATGAGACTAATTCATATTCCTTTGAATTAGAATTGAACCCATTTGCTGGAACTGGAAACCTAATCCAATGCAATAACCCTCTGTTTGTAAGTCAGCATGGCAAGATATCTATAGTCAGTAAAAGTTCTGTTATCCGGCATCTTACAAGCCGGCATGCTCCATTAACCAGCATGCCAGCTTGTAAAATAAAGTGAAACCGGAAGTGCCCACTATGGCACTTCCGGTTTCTCCGAGCCCCCATGACTCAGGGCAAAGCAGCCTGTTCTGCCAAGCCCCCACAGTCCGGGGGCCCCGCGGGAAGGGCAGTGATGCAGCAGGAGGGACAGCGATGCCACGGAAGGGGTGGAGGGACACCCCAGATGCGGCATGAGAAGCGGCGGCTGGGGCCACTCAATTAACCGGCATATTTTGTTATCCTGCATTCCCCGTTCCCGGGGGATGCCAAATAACAGAGCTTTTACTTTACCATATTTACTCAAATATAAGACAACTCTGATTGTAAGACAGCCCCCACAATAAATTTATAAATTTGTTCTTTACCAGGTATAGAATCTAATTATTGGAGGTTTGCTTTAAATCTATCCCTCTTGCACTGCTACAACTGATTAAATTAAATCTGGGGGGGTAAAATGGCCCTCTTGTCCTCTTCCCCCCCCAACTTTTTCCCCCTGCAGGTCCTTCCCCTACCTCTTGCTCTCAGACCCTGCTCTCCCTGAGCACATGGAAATGAAAACAAATTTGAAAACACTGATGGATGAACGGACACATCTTATCTTTTTGTTTTTAACTGATGCAAGCTTTAGCCCAACTGCAAATACACTTTTAAGTAACACTTTTGTACATCCTTATATAGAGTAAAAACTGCATGATACTTGCCCAAAGGCAAAAAGCTCATAATTTACCATATAGTTCATTGGGCTGGGCCCCAGGAGAGGCAACAGCATTTCAAACCACATAGCCACATGTGACCCCATAGCTCAGCAGTGCACAGTATATGTGTATACTCTAGATATGCCCTCACAAAGGATTCACGTGCTAATTAGCCCCCGAGTTGCAACTGGAACCAGGTGTCCTTGTCATAAACCCTGGAGTCCTCCAAAATGTATGTGCCAGATGAGGTGCAGGGCAGCCTGGTTCAACTTCACCTCATGGAGGGTAGGGTCACAGTAATCATATGTGACAGGCTGAGGAGATGGGCCAACAAAGGGATTCTGGGTGAACTGATTGGGGCCCTGTTTGGTGATGTTTCCCAGACATTTAAGGCTGGTGAAGAAACAAATCATTGGAAATAGGAAAGAACGGTACCTCAGCTGTGGGAGCAAAGAGAAAGTAAAAATGTGTTCAGTGTAGTAGCTCACCATGACTCAGAAAAAAGCTGGCACTGAGGAGGACTGAGCACAACGAACACTACTCAACTACTGTATTTTTTTATTCAGATGGGCTGCACTCATCTATCCTTGTGGAGATACCACCATGAGGTGGTTTTCGGCTCAGATTGTTTTACTTACCTGGCAGGGGAGATACCATTCTTCTCAGCTTTGAATGACTTGGTATAGTTAGAAGGTGGAGATCTGTCCATTGCACTACAGGCAAGTACCCCTGCAAGAGTTTACAAATGCCTCCAAATGTGAGTGTCTCAGCTACACAATTTATGGTAATGGGGGATTGCTCTTGGGCTTTCCCTCTAGCTTGCTCCTTCAGCCTTTGGGCTAGGAGCAAGTGAAGCGCAGGGGCATCCAAACTCCAAGGCTTCTAGGCTTTGGGCTTGCATATAGGATGTCTATCATGGATTTGGGAGTATCAGAAGCCCCAGGCTGAAGAGTCTAGGAGGCAGGATACTTGCCGGTGGTAGCACCACACAGACTTTAACAGTTGAGCTTGCTCAGTTGATGCAGTTTGAAACTGATTTGGTCTGACACGAAATTAAAGAAGAAAAGTAGTAGGTTCCCACAGGATCTCAGCCTTTTGGCTAAGATCAAGCATTTTTGGCACCATGGGGAGGATGTCAGGGCTGGCTCTGGCCTTCCTGGTGTCAGCTTGGTATTCCATTATCTCTAGCCCGGTGCCCATTGCCTATAGAGAGAATATCCACCTGTTTTTCTTCAAGGGCCAAAAAGGCTCCCATCAGCATGTTTGCCCGATATGGGCCATGTGTTTTATAGTTATGCTCTGTATTTTAATCAACTTCATAGTTGATTACTATTACTGAGCACATGCTGCTTTTGGCAGCAGTTTAACTATAGACAATGTACAAGCAGCTTTTCCCTCTTTGCTGATGGAGGGGGAAATAACTTGTCTCATACCCGAGTAAATATGGCATTAATGTCTTTGTATGTACTAAACACTTAAGTACCCCAGTCCATGGACTGAGACTTTGTAGTGGTGGAGAGGCTTGTATGTCCTGATAATCTTCAGAACTGTCAGAATCCCAAACTCCTGGCGGGGTCACCCATGGCAAACAGGCCTGAGGGAAGGTTTCAGATAAACCATGGGTCCAACCCCAAGTCCTCAGCGATGGATCAGGCAGAAGGTGATGTCAGGATTTCAGTGGCTGTAAAGATTGAAGAAGGCTACATCTTGTCACTAAGCTCAGATGTCTACCTTGTCAAGATCGTGTGATTGCTGTTTCTGCACACCAGCTTCCTCGCATTAAACAAAGTCATACACATGTGGCTATCACAGGAAACAACACACTGTCCTGTATTAACCTCTAAAAGCCCTGTAGCAATGGACCAGTGGTGACAAATGCAGGAACTAGTAAATCTAGCAATCTCCAGCCACAAATCTACACTGGGGCTACAGTAATCTGAGGGTCATCTTGCACTTGGGTTGAGACCAGATGTGCAATTTGGCAGCTGCTACCATGACTGAGCAGTCCTGTTCAGAATCCCCTCTGCTCATCCCACATAAAGGTGTTAGAAAAGGTGCCTTAAACCTAGGTTTTCTTATCTGCTTCTGGCTAGATAATTGTGTCCAGTGGGATCACTCTCTCTGTGGTTGAAAACATCATAAGACAATGGTTTTTGCAACATGGAACATTCACACCTTGATGAATAACCAAGACAACAAATAACCAGAGAGAAGAATTGGCATAATCTATAAGGAGCTAGTGAGATACAACATCGACATTGCAGCTCTGCGTGAGACAAGATGACCAGATGAAGGTCAGCGGCGGGAAGAGGTTGGAGGCTATACCTTATTTTAGAAGAGGAAACCAGCCCAGGACAGATGTGTTCACAGCATCAGCTTTACCACCAAGAATCAGCTCCTCAGTAAATGTATGGAGCTCCCTGTGGGCATTAATGAATGTCCTATGACCTTCCATCTTAAGCTCAGGAACAGCCAGTATGTCACCATCATCAGTGCATATGCCCCAATGCTCAATGCTGCTGCTGCTGTCATTTCTACTCCAACCTTGACCATGCACTGACTAATACTCGCAAGGAGGACAATATCATTCTCCTCTGACTTGAATGCCAGAGTTGGATGTGACCTGGAACTCTGGAGTGGCACCATTGGGAACTCCAGCAGCATCCTGCTGAACTAATGTGCAGAGCATGGTCTTAAGACAGAGTGACAAATACAAGACCACCTGAAGACACCCTTGCTTTAAGCACTGGGGCCTCCTCAACTACAATATTGTTAGAGTCCATGATCAATGGATGTCTGTATCATGTGAGCCATGTGAGAAACCAATGGCTACTGGACAGATCACTGTCTTGCAGATCCATTTTGAACATCCAACTTGCTGTGAAATACTGAAGACAGCCAAAAGCAATGTGAAGGGCTCTCAATACCAACTCTCTTCAAGATCCAAAAGTCTATAAGGATCTCCAGCAGTCTCCATGAAAAGCTCTGTGCCCTGTCCACAAAGGAGGGCAACACTGAGGAACTCTTGGAAGAGGTATAAAAACCACCATGCACATTGCCTATGCTGAATCCATTGGCTACTTTACTTTTTGACACCAAGACTGGCTTGATGAGAGCAGTGCCAAGATCCAAGCCCTTCTTGACCAATAGAGAAGGGCTCATTCTGTTTAGCAAGATGATACCTCATCCCAGCTGAAGGAAGAGACATATCAGCTCTTCATAGCCAAAGCTCAAAGGAGGATCTGAGAAATCAGAAGTAGTGGTGGCAAGATAGTCAAGGAGATCCAGATCTATGCTGACAAAAATGACATACATAGCTTTTTCCAGGCACCAAAAGCAATCTAAGACCCAACTCCCACTGGTTCTACTTTCCTGTGATTACAGGATGGCTCAGTGCTTCTCAAAGACAATTAATCTATCCAAACAAGATGGAAAGAGCACTTTGAGGCACTCCTGAATCATGAGTCAACTGTGTTGGATACCACCATTGAGAGATTCATTTGTCACCTGAACTAGAGTCAAGCAAGGATGTGTCATTATCCCAACTCTGTTTCCCATTTATTGACAGTCATCCTGGTTCTCATTAAGAGCCATCTTCTTTCCAGAATTGATATAGAATACTGAAGGGATGGACCTTCAATCTGGGATGTTTTCACTTGAACATCAAAGTATTCAAAACAACCATCCTGCACTGTAGATCTGGATCTTGGTGTCTTTCCAGATATTGTGATGAATAGAAAACACACCAAAACAATTTCCCGAAGGAAGCACTTGTGCACCAGATCCTGTGCTGGACCTCCTCAACAATGTTTACTCTCTAGCAGAGGTGGCTACTGGGTAGGGGAAGTGCTCAAAACCTACTGCCATCATCTCAAGAGCCCGGAGAGGTATCACCAACAATGTTGCCTCCGGAAAATCCTCCACATTAAATGGGAAGATTGCTGCACAAATGTCAGCATCCTTGCTGAAGCCAATATTACCAACATTGAATCAGCAATCCTCAAGCACCAATTTTGCTGGGCCAGATATTGTATATGGATGCCAGGCTTTTGATTCCCAAAACAAGTGCTCTACTCCCAGCTTAGTAAAGACCTGAGATCTCGTGTTGGGCAGAGGAAATGCCATAAGAAAACATTGAGAGTATACCTCAAGAAAAGGGATGCAAACATCAAGAGTTGGGAAGATCTGGTTGCCAACTGAGTCCAATGTCACTGCAACCTCAACTGAGTACCAGTCCATTTCAAGGTGACATGTCTTGCTCTTGAGAAAAGAGAGTGGAGGAAGGAATAGGCCTTTGGCTTATTCTACCCTGCAGAAAGATCCGCAACTTCTGAGGATAGGTCTGTAATTCAAGGATGGGACTCTTAAGTTACCTCAAGACCTATCAATGAGCTATGGTAGAGATCATCCTCAAATTGAGGGATTGTTGACTGTGACTTAAGCATCAAGCATAAAATAATATCCTGAAGTGAATAAGACAGAAACTGAGCCACATATGGTTTAGCCATATGACCAATGTGGCTTGCTGTTAACAGGCCGACATTAAACAATGTTTTGGTAATTCTGGAGCAAGTGAACTATAACTACTTAAAAATGGGCAATATTCTTTTTACCTGGTAAAAAGCATGGCAGATTAGACCTCTGAGGATTTCAAGTTGCTAAACCTCAGACAATAGAATGAGTGTTGATTTTTGTTATTGAAAATGCAATTTAACTGTATACTAACTGATTATGGTTAGCTAACTGGTTATGGTTAGGATATGTATTTATTAGATCCTGCCGCTGCATTGGCCTGTTTGTTTTTGTTGCATTTTTGTTGTTTATTTGTTTGTTTCTAAGACTAAATATTTTTATTCCTATTTAGTAGCAAATTCCTATTCTAGTAGCAAATGCTTACAATGGACAGGTAGGTCCAGTAGGTAGCAAAGATCTGAGGTAGGTTTCTTTTTTTGTATTGAATTGTTGCTAAATATCTATATCCAAAGACAGTGCTTTGTTACCTAAATAGTTGGTAGCCAAAAATTTCCATTGTCTAGTTTTTTTCACTTTCCAGCATAGACACAAGACTACAGGATATATTATTATTAACTTTTCAGAAGATACTGTAGTTTTTAGAGTAACTTGCACCTGCTGTTTTCATTGCCTCTCATACAAAAGACCTTTTTGTCCTCGCTAAACTTATCCATTAGATAAGTCTGTTATCCCCTTTGAGACATGAGCAATAGATATTTATTGCCTAATGCCACTTAGCAAATATACTGTTTATTCAAATACCCATTAAGATGATTATTAATGTCCTACCTTGTCCAATAGGTGAAAATGTATTTGAAGAAGGAATTTGAAAAGCATGGAGCAGCAGTAAATGACAGCCAGCATGATGTTTTGATTGAAGACATCTTTGATAAAGAAGATGAAGACAGTGATGGGTTTATATCTGCTCGGGAGTTCACATACAAGCATGATGAGCTGTAGAAAAGCCCAGCCTAATAATTCTCCATGTCACAGAGGTGGCAGTGACTTACAAATTGTCTAGCTTTGTAAAATTTTTAATTCAGCATTTGGAGCTGACAGGAACAAATGGAAAGAAAAAACATTGTTTTTCTATACAAAAAGGGACTTCTGTTGATGATCCAAAATGCTTTTAACTACGTTTAGATATTAAAACAAAGCCGCTTTTGTAAATCTTTTGAACTGCTGCACCTGGCAGCAATAGTGTTTCATTTACTTTGTATTAATTTAATTTGCAGTTATGAAACCAACATGTGATATAACAAATATTGCTAAAAAATCAGAATCCAGCTTAATGCTTACCTTGTATTGTTTTCTTATGTGCTAATGACAAACATTTGAGTTATTCTCTTTGATAGTATACTTCTTATTTAATTTTTAATTTATGGCTTAATTATTTCACCTTGCTTTTTCTATGCAAATCAGAATTTGAAGAACAGAAGCAAAATGTGCCACACTGTTAATAAGAGGTACACTGCAAAGGTCAGACAGTTCTCGTTGGTCTTTTCAACTCTAGCAATATAATGTAATCTACCTGTATGTGAACAGGAAACATTACTGATATCTGATCATTTATTTTTGTAAGCTTATTAGTGTGTGCCTCGTGTGCCTAAGCCAACCATGTATCTTGTATTTATTATGGTGCTATGATCTAGAGTCAAAGGGGGAGTTAGAGATCAGCAGGGGTTTGGGGTTTTAGTTGTGTTGTGTTTTTGTTTTGTTTTTTAACTATTACATAATAACATTGCAGTTTGGCTGAGCTGGAGACAGAATTTGTGTGTGCAGTCTTTGAAAATTGCAAACTATAGAACAACAAATAACTCTTTTAAGTAACTTATTCCTTATGTTTCAGAAACTCGGGAACATAGGACTAAAAGGGCCTCCGGGGCCATTGATAAACACCTCCTTGTTTGCAGGCAGTCATTTACCTAAATAATCCCCAATATCTCCACTTCAAACTCTCATACACAATTATGTTCATGCAAAAAGACTACACCTTTGTCTTCATGACCTCTTTGGTCTTCCACCAAATGCTAAAACCTCATGTTTCTCTGACATGAGGTAAAAAGGTATCCTAAAAAGAGCCCCATTACAGTAGCTCAACTGCTGTGTCACTGCCTTGTAGAACTTCTGTTTTGCCATTGCGTATTAAAAACACAGTTTAACGTTAAAAGGGTATATACTGTATGTTTCTTACAATGTTCTGTGAGTGGTATGAAAGTAAGTTAAATAAGGGTCCTGACTTTTTAAGCAATAAAGTCATTTAGAAATTCATACGTAGGGTATAAAACCTGATATGATACTTTGTCTTGGTAGAAAACATTCATAAGAAAGATATTTAAAGACCCCTGCATGACAGGCCAGTAATCTGACACGTGAGCATAAAACATGTCATGGCAACTACATGTTTGGAGTCAGGCTTAGATGTTTAATTGTTGCCCTAGTTGTAAAGAAGGTGATTTCAATGCCTTTGAGAAGGGTTGTGATTTGAACCAGGCTTCCCTTGCTGGTACATTTAGTTGTCTTTCTTCTGTTTTGGGCCAAGAGCTACAGAAGCCTACATTAAATGGATGGGACAGACCTGACGAAAAATTTAAAGTTGTGCTCCCTGCTGCATTTGAATAGGCTCCTGAACTTAGAGGAAAAGATTTCAGGATGTTTAAAAGCATGAGATCACGACTCACATGGAGATGTACTCTCATTGTCTGAATAGCCATGGTACAACTGGGCATAGGATATTCAGGCTGGTAAATTCAGTGCTTGGGGGCTGGTGTAACAGAAATTTCCTTGTTGTCACTTCCAGTAGGGGCGGCAATTGGCATCCTAGCCTATGCAGTCGGACCAAAAAGTTTAGAGATTTGTAGGACATTTGTGCTATGGAATTCAGGGGGAGGCATGGGGGCAATCCAGCATAATGGACTCAGATAGAATTGGACCTAATGAATAGTGAATCCTACAGGATGGAGAGGTAGAAACCCTTGTATAAGGTATATGTAGCACTGGGGCTGTCAGTCACCATTAACATGCACAATTAACACGTTCATTGGTTCTTGCATTAATTTTTGTAATGCATTAATTGCGCACATGGTTTTGGAGCCTGTGCCTGGGCTCTGCTCCACTGCCATCATCACTGCCTCTGGACTGCCCAGTAGGGCACTGGTGGCAGTGTAGAGGACCGCAGGGCAGCCCAGGTGTGGACTCCTGACTGCTGCAGCAGGAAGGCGGTGGGGGCGGGGTGGCAGCATGCACAGACACAAGCAGCCGCAGCACGCACATGGCCAGGAACGCAACCCAGCAGAATGTAGAGCAGCACCCAGCAGGTAAGTTTATGGGGGGGAAAGGGGTGGAGGGATGGGGTGAATGGAAGAAGGGACCAGGATGGGGGCAGACCAAGGCCCCCGCAATGAGGGAGGGTGTGAGGCCGGGGTAGAGGCTGGGTTGAATGGGGCCCCAGGGCCAAGGTGGGTTGTGGGATGGAGCTGTGGGAGGCTTGTCCAGGGGTGTAGGGGGGGCATGGCTCCCTGCCACTGCACATACCCCAGGGAGAGGCATGGGGGCATGTGTCCCCTGAATTTCTGCATGGGGTGGAGGTGGGCTGCCCTCTCTGGGCTAGGGCTCTGCTCCCTGCTGCCTTTACCCTGGGAGCCACATGATGCCATACTGTGCCTTCCTCCAGTGGGTGGGCAGGGGACACATGGCACAGCCAGCATGCAGCTCCTAGGGCAAAGGCAGCAGAGCACAGAGCCCCAGCCTGCAGTGGGCAGCCCGCCTCCACCCTGAGCACAAATCCAGGGAGCACATGCCCACCATGCCTCCCCTGGGGGTACGCACAGTGGTGGGGAGCCAACCTGCCACCCCCCTCCCCACCCCCGCACCCATGGATGAGCTGCATGCAGCTCTGTCCCACTCCAGCAGTGGGGCCCCATTCACCTCAGCCCCTGCCCCACTCCCTCCCTCATCATGGGGTCCTCAATCTACCTCCCACCCCTTCCGTCTCCCCCTGGCCCTTTCCTTCCAGAGACTTACCTGCTAGGCACTGGTCTACGCACTGCCCAGTTGTGTTCCTGTAGGGTTACCATATTTCCAGTTTCAAAAAAGAGGACATCTGTTGGGGTGGGGATATTATTTTGTTTGGGGGGGGTTGTGATATGCCCCCACCCCTCACTACCAAGCCACAGCCCCCCCCCACCACCCCAGCCCTGCTGCTGCACCTCACTCCTGCCCCACAGTACCCTGTATCCTGCCAGGGCACGCGGGGACCCCTCCCTGGGCACCAAACCCCACACACACACCCACAGCCCCCCAGACCTTCACAAATTCCCCTCCCCCACACACCCACTCCCCAACTATGCAGAGTACCTTCATAAATTTGCATAATTTTGGTTTTTTCTGCACATAATTTTGAGTTTTTAGCTGTGCAATTAAAATCACAATAGCAACTAATTTTTTTAATCACGCAACTAATCACGATCACATTTTAAAATAATTTGACAGCCCTCTGTAGCACCTATCTTCATGTCAGATAGTCCTAAAGTAACCTGCAGAGCACGAGTACAAGGATATTGGGGTGCATGAGGAGTTATTTAGGGAGATGTTGGGCAATGACATGGACTCTTGGCCTTAGCCAGAGCACTCCACCCACCCCCGAATTAGAACCTCAAGCACACAAGGTGGGAAACAGCTAAGAACTGCCTCTGACCTGTGATAATATATATCCTAGGGCACAACTGAGTAAGACTGTCTTCTGTCAAGACAGACACAGTGGCTGAAGCCATAGACAGTTTTTAGCTGGGTGAACTTCCTAGTATGATTCTCACAGGCCAGGGCATCAGTTTCATGGAAATGTGTCTGCAGAATCCTGCTGTGTTGTTTTGGGTCTGATCCCAATTTTCTTGCAGTGTATCACAGGCTAACCAACAAGCTAAAGGAGAGGTTTAGGGGGACTCTTCAAATGCTGCCACTAACATTTATAGAGGAACATCTGCAGAACTAGGATAAGAGTTTACTTCATCTGTTTGCTCATAATGCAATTCCCCAGGAGGTGAGAGGATTTTCCCCAACTTTAACTGACCTCTGATACCCACCAACAAGATGAAAGGAAGACCTTTGTAAGGTAAGCCTCACGAGCTCTGCTCAAGAGAATCCACCCGTGGCCCAAGTGAAATCCAGTATGACCGCCCTATGCATGCCCAGCCCAGTGGAAAAGCAGATCAAGTTATGGTGCTCACTCCTGAAGAGGCTGTTTAAAATCATCAGGTAGGTCAATGAGGTCAACTAAATGCTCCAAATGTCTCATATCAATTTGGTGAAACCTTGGCAGAGAGAATTTGGTCTTAACAGCAATAAGGTGAGAGGGA